ATATAAAATCTTATTCCAAGGAATAAAGGGAGTTTCCGATAAAAATATGGTTATTAAACTCTGCCCGGAGAGCATTTGACAGAATGTTTAGAAAATTTTCCACTCCACTGCAACACTTTGTTCTGTCATTGCCTATGCTGACTGCTCCTCTATCCTAAGTCTTAAGAGAGGACATTATGCCTCTAACATACATGAAGAATTAAAAGGCAATCTGATTAAGAGCTCCTCTGTGCTTTGGCTAGTGTATTGTCATCAAGTCTTGTTAGCTCTCCTTCCCTCATCTCTCTATGCTCCCAGACTGGTAGAGGCTGATAGAATGTACATGATTGATTGGGGAGGCCTTGATGAAGAGCAGATTCGTGCTAATTCTCTGAAGAGACACCTAAAGCGTGTTTGAAAACTTTAAAGACATTCACATCTTTCTCTGAAAAGCCACAAAAGGCTGTTACAGAAAGCAGAGACTCTTTACAGAAAGGAGAGACAGAAAGCTTTATAAGCTATGACCCTAGAATAGGGGTACACAGAGAAGGTTGGCCATTTCAATCATATGCTAGTCTTGAGGCATCACTCAAGGCTTCTCTTTATTCATTTTTTTAAATCATAGAACAGAGAATAGTCAGGGTTGGAAAGGACCTTAAGATCATCTAGTTCCAACCCCCCTGCCATGGGCAGGGACACCTCACACTAAACCATATCATCCAAGGCTTCGTCCAACCTGGTCTTGAACACTGCCAGAGATGGAGCATTCACAGCCTCCCTGGGCAACCCATTCCAGTGCCTCACCACCCTAACAGGAAGAAATTTCCTCCTTATATCCAATCTAAACTTCCCCTGTTTAAGTTTAAACCCGTTACCCCTTGTCCTGTCACTACAGTCCCTAATGAAGAGTCCCTCCCCAGCATCCCTATAGGCCCCCTTCAGATACTGGAAGGCTGCTAGGAGGTCTCCACGCAGCCTTCTCTTCTCCAGGCTGAACAGCCCCAACTTTCTCAGCCTATCTTCATACAGGAGGTGCTCCAGTCCCCTGATCATCCTCGTGGCCCTCCTCTGGACTTGTTCCAACAGTTCCATGTCCTTTTTATGTTGAGGACACCAGAACTGCACACAATACTCCAAGTGAGGTCTCACAAGAGCAGAGCAGAGGGGCAGGATCACCTCCTTCCACCTGCTGGTCGCGCTCCTTTTGATGCAGCCCAGGATACGGTTGGCTTTCTGGGCTGCAAGCACACATTGAAGCCGGCTCATGTTCATTTTCTCATCGACCAGCACCCCCAAGTCCTTCTCCACAGGGCTGCTCTGAATCTCTTCTTTGCCCAACCTGTAGCTGTGCCTGGGATTGCTCTGACCCAGGTATAGGACCTTGCACTTGGCATGGTTAAACTTCATGAGGTTGGCATCAGCCCACCTCACAAGCGTGTCAACGTCCCCATGGATGGCATTCCTTCCTTCCAGCGTATCAACAGAACCACACAGCTTGGTGTCATCGGCAAACTTGCTGAGGGCGCACTCAATCCCACTGTCCTTGTCACTGACAAAGATGTTGAACAAGACCAGTCCCAACACAAATCCCTGAGGGACACCACTCATTACTGATCTCCAGCCGGACATTGAGCCATTGACCACAACTCTTTGTGTGCGGCCATCCAGCCAGTTCTTTATCCACTGAGTGGTCCATCCATCTGTCGTGGTTTAAACCCAATCAGGTAACTCGTTCACTCACTCCCCCCCTTCTTTCCCTGCCCCTACTCCCGGAGGGACAGAGAGGAGAATCAAAAAGAATGCAACTCCCACAGGTTGAGATAAGAACAGTTTAGTAACTAAGGTATAACACAAATCACTGCTGCTACCACCAATAATAATAATAATGATAAGGGAAATAACAAGGGAAGAGAATACGACATCTCACCACCAGTCGACCGATAACTCGCCCCCCCAGCCCGACCAAGCTCTGCCCGATACCTCCTCCAACCCCGCAGTCCCAGCCCTTCTGGCTCACTCCCAGTTACATCCTGGGCATGACATGCTGTGGTATGGAATACCTCTTTGGTCAGTTTGGGTCAGGTGTCCTGTCGCTGCTTCCTCCCGGCTTCCGCTCCTCCCTGGCAGAGCATGAGGCTCACAAAGTCCTTGGCCAAACCAAAACATCGCTATCAGCTCTGTTCCCAGGCTGAAAGTCAAAACACAGCCCTGCACCAGCTACCAAGAAGGAGAAACATGACTGCTACTGCTGAACCCAGGACACCATCAAATTGATGTCTCTCCAATTCAGAGACAAGGATGTCACGCAGGACAGTGTCGAACGCTTTGCACAAGTCCAGGTAGATGACATCAGCTGCTCTACCCCTGTCCATCAGTTCCATAGCCCCACCATAGAAGGCCACCAAATTGGTCAGGCAGGATTTCCCCTTAGTGAAGCCATGCTGGCTGTCACCAAGCACCTTGTTGTTTTTCATGTGCCTTAGCATGCCTTCCAGGAGAATCTGCTCCAAGATTTTGCCAGGCACAGAGGTGAGACTGACTGGTCTGTAATTCCCCAGGTCATCCATTTTCCCCTTCTTGAAAATGGGGGTTATATTTCCCTTTTTCCAGTCGTTGGGAACTTCACCTGACTGCCATAATTTCTCAAATATGATGGCCAGCGGCTTCGCAACTTCATTTGCCAGCTCCTTCAGGACCCGCGGATGGATCTCATCAGGTCCCATGGACTTGTGCACGTTCAGATTTTTAAGATGGTCTCGAACCAGTTCCTCTCCTACAGTGGGCACAAGGTCTTCATTCTCACAGTCCCTGCGTCTGCCTTCCAAGACTTGGGTGGTGCGGTCAGAGCCTTTGACAGTGAAGACCAAGACAAAGAAGTCATTCAGAACCTCAGCCTTCTCCTCATCCTGTGTAGCCAGTTCTCCTGAGAGCTTCCTGAGGGGGCCTACATTGTCCCTAGTCTGGTTTTTATTTGCTGCGTTCCTATAGAATCCCTTCCTGTTATCCTTAACATCCCTAGCCAAGTTTAATTCTAACTGGGCCTTGGCTTTCCTAACCTGGTCCCTAGCTTCTCGGACAACATCCCTGTACTCTTCCCAGGCCGCCTGTCCTTGCTTCCACTTTTTATAAGTCTCTTTTTTCAACTGAATTTTCCTCAGCATCTCCTTATCCATCCAAGGAGTTCTCCTGGCCCTCCTGCTGCACTTCCTTCTGGTTGGGATGCAGCACTCCTGAGCTTGTAGCAGGTGATCCTTGAATATCAGCCAAGAGTCTTGGGCTCCCCTGCCCTCTAGGGCTGTATCCCATGGAACCTTCCTAAGCAGGTTCCTGAAGAGGCCAAAGTCTGCTCTCTTGAAGTCCAGGGCAGTGAGCTTGCTGCACGCTCTTCTCACTGTCCTGAGGATCTCAAATTCGAGCATCTCATGATCGCTGCATCCAAGGCTGCCCTGGAGAGTCACATTTCCAACGAGCCCTTCCCTTTCCTGGATTGCTTGTGCCAGGCCATACCGTCCTTCCAACAGATGTCAGGGTGGTTGAAGTCACCCATGAGAACAAGGACCTGTGAGTGTGAGGCTTTTCCTATCTGTCTATGGAGTGCTTCATCCACAGGTTCTCCTTGATCAGGCGGTCTGTAACAGATCCCCACAGTAATGTCTCCCATAGCTGTTTTCCCTTTAACCCTGACCCACAAACTCTCTGTGGACTGCTCACCTGTCCCCAGGCAGAGTTCCGTACTCTCCAGCCTATCCCTAACATAAAGGGCAAGTCCCCCTCCCCGCCTGCCAGGCCTGTCTTTTCTAAAGAGCCTGTAACCTTCCATTCCAGCACTCCAGTCATAGGAGCCGTCCCACCATGTTTCTGCGATGCCTATTATATCATACCCCCGTAGACATGCACACATGAAGCCCTCCTTTTCTGTAATGGTTTAGTGACAAGATCAGGCAGTCACAGGCTTCTGTGGGAACTGAGGAAGTACAAGCACAGTTTTATCTGTATTTCTTGTGTTACACTAGGATCAGACACCAGGAAGAATGAGTCCATGAATTTCACATGAGTGATACTTGTTGAGCTGGGCTCAGGGTCCAGGAGCTGGTGACCGGAGTGCTGCTGAAGGCTGCCACTGAAATGGTAGCAGAGGGGGACAAGACTGGGGACAAAGAGATGGGAGACGAGACAACTGTTAATTTTATCTCTCTGCTGTAGGTGGATAGTTCCTAATGGCACTCTCTTATGTGTCTCTTGCTTGGATCTTGGAGGAAGTCTTCTTTGGAGGCAAGAGTAAGCAGACTAGCAAAGATACACCCATGCTGCTTGTTGGAGCTTAAAATGTTAACGTGCCTCACCCAAGAAAGTACTGGCCTAGTGTCTTACTGGGGCTGCTTTGCTTGCCTGGATCCAGAGCAAGTGTAGTACTGCCACAGGAGAGGCTTGCCTCTGTCTCCCTGAGCCTCTGTGTTCACAGCCAACAGGCTGCTGGAGTCACTTCCCTGTGAAGACAGGATGCTCAGTCAGCTGACCAGGGATTGCTGCTACTAGCCAGTACCCAGACCAGAAACGGATGAAATATCCAGCCCCTCACTCCCAGCCTCCAGCCCATGTCCCAGCTAAACATCCTTGCTGTGCCAGTGAGCTCCTGACTCTGCCATGCTCCTCTCTTGCCTGTGGAGGATTTTCCCTGGCCACACTGCACATAGGGGATGGTGCAGGTATGCCCTGGGGTTTCAAGGAAGAGCCTTGCCAGTGCTCTCCCCTCTTGCGTGGACAGGTTTGACACCTTTGCAGATGGTAGTTGCACAACATAGTGTAGTTGTCAGGGGTGTCTGGGTTAAGCAGCAGTGGCCTCAGCTATCTGAGGGATCCCCAGGGTTGCTAGTACTCCTTAATAAGTGAGAGAGATTTTGGAGTATTAAATATTGTTACTGAGAAGCAGCACTAACTGAATTCTCCAGCTTGTGCACTGCCAGAACCATGTTGGGCTTTTCCTGTGGCTTGAAGTTGTAGGGGATCAAAGGGAGAGTGGGTTGTGACTAAAATGGCAAGGGTTTTTTTCCTGACTAGAAGAACAAATGGAAGGAAGATGGCAGTTCTATGAACACTGAAAGTTCTGAGTTGGGCTCTGTGTTTCATACACCTAGATTCATTGCTAGCTTAGATTTTCAAAACCTTCAGCACTTTTATCTCTCTGCATTCAGATCTCTCTATTATCTGCACTGGACTCCCAAATTACATCCCTCTCTCACTCCCAAAGCTTAAGCACTGCTTTGTCTTCCCAGATACTGTTTTCCATGTTCTAATTTGATTAAGGGCTTGCCTGCACAGGAAAGTTGCACTATTAATTTGCAGTTTGCTTTAAAGAAATTATGTTAAACCTGGGCAAAAGGCCATGTGGATACCCTGGTATTTCTTTGCAGGAATACAGACAGTTTCTTTCAGGTTAGATCAGGTCAATTAGGAACAAGAAGAACTTGCAAAGCAATAGATTTTCCTGCACCAGAACAAAGAGAGTCCAGCAGCTTCTGCAGATTATGTCCTTCAAATGTGAATAAAGGCTGGCAGCATGGTCTTGACCTCAGCAGGAGCCACAGTCTGATGGACAGAGGTAAAATACCACCAGTCAGTCTCACCAAAGCAGCAGCCATTAAGTTCTGGGACATGCTGTGGAGCAGGCTGTTTCACACTGCAGCAACTGCCTTTTTCCTACCCAAGCCAGGCTGGTGCACAGCACTCATAGAGCAGGAGCAGGGACTGCTGCCTCTGTGCAAGTATTGGCCTCCACTGCTTTACTACAGGTATTAAAATGTAGTCCTTTGCCAAAAACCTACAGTACCATCTTGCTCAATAGGAAAAAGCCATGTGTATCTGCCTACTGCCCCTCTTTCAACACTGCATGAATGCCTTGAGTTCACTGTGTTGGTTTACAAGCAGACCGTAATTTTATGAGTGTGCTTTTAACTTGTAGGCAAGCTCAAAGTAACAGAAGGTGAAGACAAAAGAAGAGAGATTTATAACAGCAAGAAGAAATGAGAGAGACCCATCAGTAAATCTTGGATGCTGCACATTCTTACTGTGAACTGGTTTGAACTGGTAAGCTGGTAATTGCATAAATCCAAATAAGCACGTAGTCAAGATGGCTCCTATATTAAGCAACATTCATACTATACTTTGAAGAAGGCAATAATGTTTCTCACTTTGGTTTCTGTAAGCCTTTTCTCTTCCAATCACCATTTCTAAATACCAAATGTAACTTTTATGTCACATTAGGGTTTTCTTTGGAAAAACATCTAGAGGGTCACTGACCAAATATTAGAGTGATTATAGCTCAGAAATTCCTATGGGATTGTTAGGGCCCTGAGGGCACCACCAGCCCCGACTGCCCTATCCTTGTCAACCTCCAGGGCTTCCCCCCCCTGCTAGTGTCCCAGAACCTTATGTCACCCTGTGGGGCCACCAGCCCCTGCCCCAGCAATGTCTCCACCTCCCCACAGCCCTGCCATGGGTCTTGCTGAGCCAGGCTCACCCATGGGCCAGCAGCTTGGCCCACCCTTGGCTGTCCTCGAGCTGGAGAGGTGCCTGGGGCTGAGGCTGCCCTGGTACCCCCGGGTGGTCCTGGCTGGGGACTAGGATGGGCCCAGGCTGCCAGGCCCTGCTCTGATGCCTTGGGGAGAGCCCCTGGAGTCCCAGCCCCAAGGGAACTGCTGCCCTTGCTGTGCCCTGCCAGGAACTAAAATACCTAAATCATGAAGACTGAGGGACAAATTAACCAAACCCAATAGTGGTCTTCAAGAGAAGGGGGAAAGAAGGCCCACCTGCCCAGTTCCTGTTGCTGTTGAGTATTGATTAGGTCTGTCCCTTAGCCAGAGAAGGATCTCCAGGGAGATGGAAGTAGTGTAGAGGTTTATAATACAAAGGTTCATACAGGTGTGAACAGAAAAGGAGTGGGAAGGCTTGGGTGTTGAGGCACCAGCAGGAGCACTCAACAGGGGAAGGGCTCTCTGAATGGCCTGCAATTGGCCAGATTAGCAGGTCATCAAGACCACAGGGCATCTGTCTGCTGTTTCACAAACCACTGAGATCTGGAGACAAAGTGATTAGTCCTGCTGACTGCCAGACCTGGGACAGGATGAAGATACTGCCAGTTCCAGAAACATAACAGAAAGATGTCCAAAACCCTGTGCATGGTCACTGACCCAAGAATAACCCAGGAGACATGAAGATGACTTGATAGCTGGCATCCCTTGTTCTCCGTGGCATTTCAGCAGATCCTGGACCTATTACCTGGGCACAATCTTCACGTTGCCTGGATTTTGGATGGATGGCTTGAATGAGCTAACCTGGTGCCTGCACCTGTGAGACTGTGAGTGCGGCTGAATGAAAGCTGGTTTGTTTCTGCTTTTATTTTAAATGAAATCACTTTCCCCCCACCTGAATGTTTTCTTCATTGTTGATATGGTGCTGGAACAGTATTTCCTACAGAGGAACAAGGTGTAGTAAGTAGGAGCACCCAGCTGCATAATCTTTCATATCTCCGTGATGGCAGCAGAGAAAGAACCACAAAAAATTATGTCAGGAGAAAAGAGTCTTTTCGTTCTAGATGGGTTCTTCAAAGACCACACTATCCCTTTTGCTGACTTTGGTCAGCAATGCAGGTCGTGCAGCTGGAGCTCTGGCCCACTCCATTGGGAAGATTAACTCAAGCTTCAGTTTGTACATTGCAGCTTTTCCACTTAAATCATATATGGTTAAGGGGTTTTGAGACATTTAGTCCATCACACTGTTTTAAGATTATTCATCCACTCTGGATGGGTGCTCATTGGACTGGATCTCCAGAGCACAAACTACATTCCCAAACTGGGGGAGGCTCCCAACCCTGGTAGCAACTGGCTTTTCCTAAGAGGTGGGTCATCAGGCTGTCATTGTGTCAGCACAGCCACCACTTCTCAAATATGAGGCAGGAACCCCTGCTTCAAGCTGAGACTGAAAAGCCGATCATCGAGCCAGGGCCCCTCAGCTCCTTTCAGACACCCACAGGCTCCGCAGAGGCGTAACCCTCCCACCGCATTCAGAGGCAGCCGGTTCAGTGCCTGCAGGGAAGCAGGAGCTGCCGCTGCCTCCCTGTGAGACAGCAGATCCCACTGACTTCCCCTTTGTCTAAAAGATCTATGATGCTGCTGTTCAGCTCCAATACGTGGCTGCATGGCTTGTTGTTGCATGTCACCTCACCCTGGAATAACTTAAGTCTCCTTGTACTGTAAGCGTATTGCTTTTTAGCCTATTCATAGTAAACAGGAAGAGTAGTTCATTTCCTTCCTCTTTGCAGTTACTTTTTATATATTCATGTACTGCTATTTTGGCTCTCCTCAGACTTCACTTCTTGAGAACAAATTGTTTTTCATTGTGCCTTACAGTTTGTGTCTTCTGAGCTTCCAGTAGAGCAGCAGTTTAACACTTAAAATGAATATAGTGTTTATGAAATGAGCTGGACTAACAGGTATGGAAATGGAAATTTATGTCTTCACAGATTACATGCCACAGTGGTAGGAGGAGTGAGAACTCCATACCTAACTTGTGATCTGGAACATCTCTAGAGGCAAGAAGATAATACAGTAATGAAATTTATCTAAGTGGTTCAGATTTCCTCTTCAATTAGTAGCCTCTAGGCTGTTTCAGCCTGCTGGGAGTCATTTGTGCCAGATGTGGTAGTGTTTTTGTGATACAAACAAGACATTGCAATAGCAATGAATGGCGTTAACCAACTTATTTCACATAAATCACCAGCCTTTTGGAGGCAGGGCATCCAGGCAGAGTTCATCTAATCAGCTGTAGTTGGCTACATGGAAGACTCTCCAGCCAAGCTAGTCACCTCAGCCCCCTATTTATGGCCACAGTGGAGAAAAAGGCACTCTAAGGTCATGAATCATCTCATCTCAAGGTAGATATTTAAAATAGATCAGATAAGACATACCTTTAAAGTGCCTATGGGGCAGCAGGCTCAGATGTAGAGATAGACACTGTAGATATCTAAAATTAGCTGAGCTGAATCTCACCTGTGGAGTCCCTCAAACTGATGACACACAGGTCAAGTGCCCCACTTCCTGTGGTGCATTTTCAGAATACACCTCCTGCCTTTTCTAATTTACAGCCAGATGTAATGGGTGCTGAGAGACTTGTGAGGGTCTTCCACCAAATGGATAAATCTTCTTACGGATTTAAAAAGAAAATCCTTAATTTTTTAAATTTTTTTAATTTTTTTTTTTTTTTTTTTAGTTTAGTATTTAAATAGCCATTTTTCAGAGCAGGAATAGTTGCTTTTCCACTTCTGCTCATGCCACCATGTGGAACTGGAAAAGTAAATGCTTCGATTAGAAAGCACTGATGTTTACTATGGCTAAAATAATGATATTCACGGGGAGGGGTTAGGCTGATTCATCACATACAATTACACTGTAAAGATTAATCTCACAGAATCCTTGGAAAATATGTACTTCAAAACAGTCTTTTTTACTACCACAGAATTTCCCCCTCCCCCAATTTTTATTCCAGAATTAATAGTTTGTAATTAAAGAAAAAGCTTCTCTTGATACTATAGCACATCCCCTGACCTACTTCAGTGCAAATGCAAACATAACCACTTGTTTGTTTGTACTTCTACAGGTGATGGTGCTGTTCAGATAGGAGCTGTGGTTAAAGTTTCATAATGGAAAATCTGACAGGCAGTTAACTAATCCATGAGTCATATTTCGTAATAGCCTAAAGGTCTCTGATGTTCGACCTTCATTTGATACCCTTGCCATCAGGGAGTTATACATAATCCATCTGAAGAACATTCTTTATATAGATGACTGCATGCTACCCTTTTATACCTGCAGGAATGGGCATGGCACTTACTGAAGCAGAGAAGTCTTATCTGTCCCTTTCCACCTCTCTCTCTCTCTCTGTTTGAAGGGCTGCAGAAGTGCAGTGGAGGAAACTCACCTGATGAATGAGGACAGCACTTTGCTTAAATCCTCCATAGGGCCTACCAGAAAGGTAAGGAGAAGGGTGGAAAGTTGATTTTGGATTCCATTCTCCCTACCCCCCAGAAGGGATTTCTGATCTGTACAGCTCCAGTAATGAAAGTATCAGTGGAACTACCAGTACTAATAGAGCTTTGCTGGTTTCACCTGTGCATGGCTCACTTCTGCTTAAGGCAGGCCAGACCGATACAGAACAAAGCATCCTTTTGTCAGACCATCCCAAATGGGAATCCTACCCTTGCTGACACCAGCGGAGTTGAGCCAGCATTAACATGCCAAGGTGTTTATAGGAAGATTTAATGTGGAGAGGGCTTGTCTGGTGAATCTACCCCTCTATGTTCTAGCCAAAGAGTGAAAAAACAACAAAATTGCTTATTAGGGTACCATAATGTTGTCATTTGGGAAATCTCAAGTCCTCCCTCAAAGGCAACAAGGAATCTTGGCATTGCTGCTGTTTCCAAAGCTAAAATAAGGCAGACACATGACTTCAGTAACTGCATGTGAAGTTTACATACTATGACTCATTGTAATAAACCTAAATAAAATCCCAGTGTGCTATTAAAGCTGGAATGTGTTTTCCATACTAAATTATTTTAGGTTTGATTTGGCTTCTTTTTTACAGCTGTAGAGTAGTAGAATATCTCAGGGATATAAACTCTTTGCCATTGCAGCATATAAAGTTCTGGTCTTTGTGAACAGACCTACTGTAAACTACAGCAGAAGATTGTCTTTTTTTTTTTTTTTAAACTCTGGCACTAGAACTTTTACAGCAGTGCCAAATGCTAGACAACGAGAGCAGCTGGGAAAACAAATGGAAAGAAGAAAGCATCTCAAGCTTTAACCTAGGCTGTCTTTTCAAGAAACTGCCGTTTCCAAATAACTATTTTATAATTGTGCCATAAGATACCAGCAGATGCCATGAGTGATGTATGTGTAGCATGTGAGTTGCCTGCTGTATATGAAGAACCACCTAGTGAGGATCTAGCACAGTGGGAGGGGGAACATGACCAGCCTGATTGTAGGCATCAGTGAGGTTAGTCATCCCGGTGAGTCAGCCAGAGACACAAGCACCTCTAAAGGGTGCTTCTGCCTACTTGTCATCTAACATTAGACAGATAAAGTTACATGGTATAGGCCTATCATTATAGACTCATTTTCATGATCATTTATGCATGAAATTCATCTTAGGTGGATGATCTGGATTACCAGATCCACATCTCTTCAATGTGAAGTAAAGCTGGTGTTGGACTGGGCAGGGTATTGCAGTGGGTGTTCTTTTAGGGCTCTCCTTGCAGCCCCTCTCAAACAAATGCAGTAGGTAAGAAAAGACCAAACAAAGGTCCCAGTAGAATTCATGTTAATGCAGATCTAGTACCAGAAGTGGGCCACCAGTGTTTGAATTCTGACAAGAAAGTTTCTAAAAAGGGGGTAGGAGAAGGGAATGGATTACACAGCAGATGTATCCAGCCCACTGTGAGCAGTTCTACCTCTTCATCCACCTCTGCCTTCAACTTGCATAAGAACTAATTCTTGGGTGGTATGTCAGTGGTGTGAATTCCCACTTACCAGGACATGGTAATTTTTAATACTCCTTATTTACACAGGTATTGTAAAGTTTCTGTCTAGTCAGTCACAAATTTTCAGGCATCAAGAGTCTGTTCCAACAGGCAGGAAGAGTTGGGTTTCTTCTGTCTTCACAGATAACTTTCCAAGAAGTCATCACCTGAAGTTTGATAAGCACGCAGTTATGCTTGTCACACTCCAAGCAAAATGACAACATAGCTAAAATCAGAAAGTCAGAGTTGTTTATTGTATTTTTTCTCTGATGTGTATGTATGACTAGTACTGAAATAAACCTGGCAGAAGCAGTGTAGTTTAGCTAGTTTAGCTTTCGCTATAGAGGACTTTCCATCCTGTTCAAATGCTTACTGTGTTCCACTGCCTCAGGCCACAACCTCGTAGTGTCACCCTTACTCAAAGATTTTTGTTGCTATCATTTAGGGTCCCTGCAGGAAGAAGGGCCCAGCTGCACAAATCCCACTGTAGGGTTAGGGATGTTAGGGATGCTGTAACAAAGGTAATACAATGCATGTAAAATGCGTTACAGTCTTGTACAGCTCTTGTCTGATGATCTGAGGGACTCAGCTCCCAGTTTGGCATGCAGTACCCACTGAAGTCAGTGTAACTATCATCTCTAGCAACTCATCCTGGCACTGGATCAGGATATTCATAACACAATTTTGGTTTAAAGTGCCAAGAGAGGAACCGTATTGTATGACTGTTCACAACTCTTCTTGTGAACACTCTGCACTCTTGTTTTGACTGATTTTTTGTTTCTTTCGAAATATTTTTCTTTTGTAAAAGTCACCTGAATATCAGAAGAGAATTTTCCTTTTGTCCATCTTTCCTCTTTTTATTGCAGTATTAGCTGTAATTAAATGTCAAAATACAGGGACATCTTTACCTGACAGTCTTCTCTTTCCAAACAATTCCTGGAACTGAAAATTAATAAAAAGAGATATACCTTTCTAGTTCTTTGTCTTGTGGCTTATTTTCAGCTTTTGACAGTGCTTTCTGTGAGCTCAGTTTCACTGCTTTCTCTCTGGTTTTTGGTTCCCTTGCTTGTGTGGAGCCTTTGATGCTGAAACAGGATAAAGCACTGAAAAAAGAAAAGTAAAGTACTGTGACAAAAGGACAAGCATCGCCCCAGGGATTCATGTACTGAAATATCTTTAAAATTCTGAAAAACTGATTAGTTGGGAGTTGATGGTATCTATTTATAAACAGTTTATGCTAAGAAATCCTGGTTAGTCTTATGAGCAAGTTCTGGCTGAGCAGAAGTGCTGATGACTTTTTTGAAATGAAAAACATTTCTAAAGACAAAAATATCTGGTACTGAAATCTCTCACAGTCCTTGTTTACAATTTCTGTGTGATCCCTTTTCCAGGTTTATAATGATTGCTTGCCTTGCCAGCAGAACTTACAACTTTGTGGATTTGTCTTTAATGCTGTAATTAAACCCAGGATGATTTTCATGGGCCCAGAATAATCTGTAATTTTTGTGAGAGCTCTGTCTTTCAAGTGGCCTTGCATAAGATACAATCTTCACTGACCTAAGCATGCAGACACTATTTTTTTTTATATACTCACTGATGTTTTCATCAAAGACCCCTGTACCTTTGGGGTTCTTTCAGCCTGATACGTTTAGGTAAAAGTACAATTTTTCCAGCCTTTCTCATGATGTTTTAGCATGTTTAAGTTATCTTTCTAAAACACTCCTTCTTTTTTCTTCTGCCAGTGTGCCTCCAAACAGCTTGTCTCTTTTAGTCCTTCTATAAGAGTTACAATCCTTTCATACTGGTTTTCCTCCAGCATGACATTTTCCATTGCACTCTCCACCCACTCAGGACACAGGCTGGGGACCCTGCAGTGACTCCTTAGCATTCCCAGAGCTCGGCAGTCTAAAGACCAAAACCTTCTTGTTCTTATTAAATAGGGGATCATTATGTAGTGTAAGACCCAAAATCCGATCTCCTACTTTTTCTCCGTATTTATAGAAGGAGTGGATATTCCTTATCGCACAACAAAAAGATGAGACCGGAATCACACACACACTCAGCAGGGCAGAAATGTACTATGGCAATAGTCACTAAGGGGTAGTAGAGGCAGAGAGTTAGCTCCTTAAATGTGAATTTATTCGTCTTGGAACATGTAGCTATTTTTGAAGTCTGAAGTTTCATTAACATGATTCCTCTACGGATAACTTGTCCTTTTAACTTGTCCTTAAAGCTTTTGTTCTGGGAATATTTCATGTAAGGAGTTTTGAGTCTTGAACCAGTTTGTGCCTGGTAGTATTAATAACCCAGGGCAGAGAATGTTTATATAGTACTGAGCGCCATGACAGCTCTTAGAAAATAATTAAATAAATCACTGGCTTTGTTTCTGTTTAAATACAGTGTTTGCCCTCTGTAGATACAGATCTTCTGGATCCTGCTCAACAACCTCATTTGGGTAAACCTGAATACTGTGCCAATTTTATTCCAGCTCCTTTAATGCATGGCAACGGTACAGACAACCCATTGGAGTTCCCCATCTAAATGCCTAAGAAAAAGCCAAAGTCCCTGGAACCCACACTAAAATTATCTACCAGGAGTCTTAATTTTTATACACACACACAATTAAAGTAGCAAATGAAAGGGGTAAATACATCCAAATCAACAATTACAGTACGCAAGAACCATTAGGGTCCAAAGTGACTGCCCATTCCAGACTTCTAGAAGTGTGCTGAAAATAATCAGGACTGGAAAGTTACTCTGGCTGCTACTGAGGGGATGCCCAACCATATGAGAGCCAACATAAAACTAGCAATGTCAAAAACCCCACACTAGTTTACAGTTTTAAAGCACTGAGCAGAGAGAAATTGAGAAGACTGGAGCTATTGCAGTCTATGAACTTGGCTTTTGCGACCCACACACACATGCAGAACCTGTGTGCTATAGAGAGAAGCTGTGTGTTTTACTTCAGAACACCTTGAAAGCTTCTCAGGAACCTAAGCACTTAAGAGACATTTCAGAGAATTCATACTGTGGTTGACTGTGCCTAGCTCACATACGTTTTCAATAGAAACATTGAAAATTGTTTCAAGAGTGAGGTGTATCCACGTTAAACTTTGAGTATAGGCTGAAGAACATACAGAGCTATGCTAGACTGGTTTCTGGTACAACCTGGCAAAATACTTAAGATGCTACCTAATCCCAAATGATCCCATAAAACCCACTGGTATCTGTGTAATCTCCTACCACCAAATCAGTCTTAAATTAAAATATGAATTTTCCATCAGGAACTGGCAAAGCTGAGAAATACTTTATGGCTAAATTCAGCATATTTTATGTATTTGTGATACTTATAGTTTCTGATTTTGAATATAAAATATAAGCAAAGAGAATCCCTATAAATAGTAAAATCATCATGCATTTAGTATGGTATCATAATACATTAATCAAAATATTTGTAACATTTGTCTATAACTTCGTTACTGCAGAGTGAGCTGCACTAAGGGGCTTTGAACTGGTACAGAAGACAAGAAAGGACAAAATTCAACTCCAGCAACCAGGGAATAAAGAGTTCAGGTATTACAAAGTGAAGGTTCTGCAAAACCAGACCGAAATGCAGAGTTAAAAGTCTCTGCCAGTTCTGGAACAGAAATTTAGTCTGCTGCTACCACTAGGAAGCAATAGAATCTGGGGGAAAATGGGAAGGGATCAAGAAGTGGGGTGAGAGACAAAAACTATGAATGATGAATTTGCTAACCAAGACATAAAATGAAGGCTGCATGCCCTGTGAATTTCAAAGGTCCATCGTAAGTTTTTAGGTCCAGCAGTGGGTCTTTTAGTCAGTTACACAGGAGGCCAAGCTAGACAATCTGGATGGTTTAGGATGTGCAGATGGAGTTTCAGCACTGCCTGATGCTTGCTTTCTAACAGTACTTAGCAGTATTGAATGGTAAATTGGCAACTGAATAGCAGCATGCTGGCAGCACAGCAGTTGTAGTGAGAGATATATGTTTATCTTGGTGGTGCAAACATGCCCCTTGTCAGCAGTGGATTCTAGAGTTTGCGTTAATAGTAGAAGTAACACCCATGGGGGTGGCCAGCAGTCAGGCAGCCTGTGTGAATGGTAGTTGTGGGGGCACTGAAATGAGGAGCTGAAGGTATCATCTGAAAAGAAATCTCTCTGGAAAGGATAAAGGGAGATACCATTCTGCATGCCTGGGCTAGTGTGAATTCATCAGGCTCCGTGTTTGAATGGGAGCCAGGTATAGCATGCAAGTAACTCCTGTTTGCTGTGCCTGACCTAAATCCAAGTGTTGCTTTGTCAGGTTTTGTCCGACACGCGTTCTGTTTCCCTACTATGTAGGAACGCTGCTGGAGACTGGGTGTTAGCATTGGAAACATGATGATTCAAACACACAAGTATGAAGGCTGTGTTGCAGCAACAGGGAGGAAGTGGGGACATGTAACCCTGCCTTGTATTTTATGGAGGTCAGAGATTTCAGTTCATGTTAAAAGAATTCTTATTTGGGAAGTTTCAAAGGATTAAATATAGACCATGTTCACATGCTAGATGGCAGTGAGGCTCCGCAAGCAACCCGCTTCCCTGCTAACAATGCTTGTGGGGATATAATGTGTTGTTTGTTTGTTTGTTTGTTCATTAAATGGTAGTTTTTCAGGATTGACATCTCTCAGAGCCCAGCCATGCAACTCCATTGCCTCCCCATTCCTTGGCAACATTACCCCTAGCAAGAGCGCACAGCTGGCACAAGTCCTTGAGCTGCCCTGATTCCTTCCTTATCTTCAGTCTCACTGGTTTTGAGGAAGATAGGATCATTACACAAGGGGCCTTAGGGTGATAAGATAAGCATCTGCTATTTGAGCCTCTGCCTTAAACTACCACATTGCCATAAATGAATAAGTTCCCAGTAGCAAGAAGACAAGAATTACACTTGATAGGAAGACTGCCAGCTGCCAGCTCTTCTGTGATACCTGCCTCTGGGGATGAGAGGTGTTTCCCTGGTAGGATATCTGTGTGAATACTGAACCCTACTCACCGCTGATACTGATGACAAGGCTGAACAGAGCAAATGCACTCTACCCCCAGATGATGCCAAGGTCCTTTTCTCAGTGGAACAGTAGGTGAGCTTGGTGTTTAGGGCAGAGAGGGTGATGGTATCATCAGTGAGAAATAAGAAGACAACATCTTTTTATTTCAAAGATCCATGTTTAAAGCCTACACACACAAACAAACAGACACATAAAAAATAAGCAGTAATTAAATGGAAAAGAGAATCCACAGGCCAAAAAAGGGATGCCAAGAGTCAGCATGGGGAGGGAAAAAACCAACTTTTGGTCTAATCAGGTGAAAATTGCATAAAGTTGCTAAGAAGCAGTGGTTTTGGTGCAGCAAGAAACTCTGTCTCAAGTTATGAAGTAGTGGAAGTAAACTCAGCTTGGTGCACATTCCCCCTCATGCTCTTTGCACCAAGCATGGGGTACCGTGTATGTACAGTTAGCCAAGCTCACACACCCAGAGTGCATGTGTCACCACAGTGCAGTGGTTACAAATGCTGTCACTCAAAGAAGAACAAGGAAAAATGCAAAAAATTACGTTTTTGGAGGAGGGGTGACGGAGGAGGCGAGAAGGAGGTGACTGTATCTTGACAACCCCAGCTAAAACTGACCTACTGTTTGGACTATCAGCATGACTGTCTATTCCCTCACTTACAGAAGATTTCAAGACAACATGACAGATGTGAATTTGTGAGAATGTGGAATAGTCTAAACCAAGAAACAGTCTTTGGCTTTAATTAGGCCACTACTCTTGTCCTGCTGGGGGGTCATCAGGGCTCTGAGTGCACCAACAGCTCTGAGGCACCCTGAGAAGCCCACCCTGGGGCCCCCACCCTGTCACTGGCTGGCCTAGGAGCATCACGCCTGGGGCTACCTGGGGCTCCCAGCTAGTCTTGCCATGTGGAACACCCTGCTCCTGCTGCTCCCTGACATATACCTGAAAGGAAAAAACAAAACCATCTCAAAAGCAGAGACTGTATTTATGAATGAACGTGAGACTTGCAAAGCAAAATTAAAATCAGTGCTATTGCAGGATGACAGACATGAAATAATAAGCTGTTGTGGTTTAAACCCAATCAGGTAACTCGTTCACTCACTCCCCCCCTTCCTTCCCTGCCCCTACTCCCGGAGGGATGGAGAGGAGAATCGAAAAGAATGCAACTCCCACGGGTTGAGATAAGAACAGTTTAGTAACTAAGGTATAACACAAATCACTGCTGCCACCACCAATAATAATAATAATGATAAGGGAAATAACAAGGGAAGAGAATACAACATCTCACCACCAGCCAACTGATAACTTGCTCCCCCCCCCCCAGCCCAACCAAGCACTGACTGTTACCTCCTCCAACCCTGCAGTCTCTCAGCCCTTCCAGCTAACTCCCAGTTACATCCTGGGCATGACGTGCTGTGGTATGGAATACCCCTTTGGCTAGCTTGGATCAGGTGTCCTGTCTCTGCTTCCTCTCCGCTTTGCCTCCTCCCTGGCAGAGCATGAGGCTCACAAAGTCCTTGGCCAAACCAAAACATCATTGTTATCAGCTCTGTTCCCAAGCCGAAAGTCAAAACACTGCACTGCACCAGCTACCAAGGAGGAGAAAAATGACTGCTACTGCTGAACCCAGGACATAAGCCAAAACCAAATTGTGAAGGAAGAAGAATACATGCTTACAGTACCTGAATCAAAATCTCAGTGTATAAGGGTACAAGCAGAGAGGCTGTACAAAATCTTTAGATATTTAATCACTTGTGTGTTTCCCTGTAGAAAGGAAATAGACAGATTAGTTTTCCTATGGAGAATTCATTAGTATTCTATCATTGAAGAGTCAGTATTTTTAGCTTAGTGAGTTTAAGATGTATTGTGCTTTGGGCCTCAGAAGTTACCAGCTCTGAGTAACAAAAGAAAAAAATGGAGTGTGTTAGGAACTGTACAGTGATTTTCTGAGATCTTTTATGAACCATCCTCCTTGCTTGCTGGTTAGCATTAAGTGCCTCAACTCCATTTCAGGAAGGCGGTAATTAAACTGGGTCAAATGGAAGTGATTAGATTGGATTACCCATGTCATGGAAAAAAACACTGGAAGATCCAAGAGGGAGGAAATTGACACACACATCCCAGCAAGTTCTGCTGGAAGGTGTATGAATTTACTTTTCCGTCTGCTGAAGAGCTTTGGCACACCCAGGATCCCTCTAAATGCCTCAGACTCAGTTTAATGTAATTGTTTTCATCTTGGAAATTCCTTAGGACTGGTAAGGAAAGCAGTTGTCCTAGCATCACTTCCACTTGTGTGGCTCACCCCAGGTCTACCTGTGCTGGGTTTTGGAAGTGTCCTTGAAGCTGCCTTTACTTAGGGGTCTTTAATGAATAAAACTCTTTTTCATTTCTGGTGCTAAAAATTACTGTGGAAATGTTCAGGTGGACAAGGAAGAATAACACCATGCCTGCTGGGAGGGCAACCTCTGGAAGGCCAGCAAGAGGACCCAAAATGGAGAAAACAAATCTTGTACTTGAGACTGGGTTGAGAATTGTGAATGCGCAGGCTGCTGTGGGTATTCACCAGCACATCTGCAACACCTCCAGTGCTTTGGATTTGCCCAACACAAATGCCCATTGGCCTTGAGATGGGTCTGTGTGTAGCCTGTGTAGCAAGGCCAGATGCAGCAGCGTGAACCTCAGATTTGCTGTGTGCTACAAACAGGCTCCTGAGAGCCCAGGTCAAGTACAGTACCAAGTGTTGTACTTGAAATCAGCCCTATAGAAGCATCTAACCTACACAGGCAACTTGCACATGATTTGTGCAGCACTCCTGAGGTCTGGGGTAGAGCTCAGAGTACACAGATACCCTGGCAAGCCTCTCACTCAGCACAGCCCCAATTTAAGGCCGCCCTCCATTATGTGATCCTGCCACAGAGAAGCAAATATTTGGTGACTGCTGTAATTACTAAGACATAAGCAGTATTTTATTGCAGGGTTTCCTGTTGGCCAGCAGCCGAGTGGTTGCTTCCTCCTGGTGACATCTCTGAGTGCTCTCTGCATGCCTGGCTCCACCACTCTATTTTACTGAGATTTTCAGCAGACACCATGTCACCAACCCCTCAGTCATAACCCTTCACCCCTTGTGCCACCAGAGAACTGATGGCCCTGGGGGAATGGGGCTGAGACGTGTGCATGTGTATGAGCATGTGTATGTGCATGTGCATCCGCTTGTGCACACAGCTGTGTTTATTTGATGTTGCATATAGGAGAAAAAGAGTAGTATTTATGTTCTAATCATGATGTGTTCCCAAGCAAAATATTTTCTGCTCTGATTTATTGCTCTCTTTAGGCCTGCCCTCAAGCATTGTTCTTATAGTTGGAGCCAGTCACGTTTTTTCCATTTGGAAATGGAAATCTTAAATGGAATGGCATATTTAATGAAAAAACCACAATAGTTTCACTTCTCTGTTTTCCCATTTTATGTTTGCTTTCTTTCTCCCGTCTTTCTTTTTACCCTTTCTCTTAATTTATCTCTGGAAAAAAGAAAGAGAAACAGTATCTGGAGAAAAGGCAGAAGCAATTCTTTTTTCCTCATTTTTGGCTAAGGAATTAGAAAAGTTCAAAAGGTTTTACTAAGAAAAAGTCCACATGAAAAGTACCTGTCATTTTCTGATTAGCCCTGTTGTACTGCTGATCAAAAGTATCCAGCCAAGAAACCAAATTAAAAATGCTTGTGCGCTATACAGGGCCAGCACTTCTTTACTTTATAGTGCTTCACAAAGCTTACGCAAATGGCCTTAGAGCTTGGTTTTCTTTTTATCCCACAGATATCAAAAAAGAGAGGTCCCCCCTACCCCCAGCCTTCTTTTGCTAGATGACTTCTCAGAGAACCAACAAAATCAAATTAGTTTTGTAGGCTGCTCTTAGAAGATACAGGAGAAAGCAGATCTTTAACAAATTAAGCTTTCCTCCCATGTGCTGTTTCTCACTTTTGATTCAAACAATCTCAGAAGAGTTTTTACACAGTCAGAATAAAAATTCTTTTAAAATCCTGTTTAAAATCTCCACTTTTAATTACCCTCAGTAGCTTAGGATTCATTTCTGTTTTGAGGCATGAAATCCCTTCAGCTCTACTGCCTACACGGCAAAAACAGCAAGAACAAAGCAGAGATTATGAAAAAAAACCCAACAAACAAACTCAAGAAAATAATGACATTTTTAAAAAAGCTCATCCATCCTTATGCCATAAAAAAAAAAACAAAAATACCAAAACCATACACTTTTTTCCTCCCTTGTGCATCTCATCTATCAAGCAATAAAAAATCCTGTGCTATTGTATTTGGTTTCTAAGCTGGATGCACAAACTATAGTGGCTGTAACCTCCAGGGATGTTGTCACCAAACAAATGTTGCCATTAAAGTGTTAGTAGGAGGTCCATTAGGAAGTACAAAGAGAAGAACAATTTTTTTGGTGGGGTTTGGTAGGAAAAGCAACTAAATCTGAAGTACAGCTGGGTGCTCTTAAATTAGAAATCTTAAGGAGGTCTCCCACACATCCGTGTAAGATGGCAAGTTTGAGCTGTGCATTGCTGCAGATACGCTTCACCTCCTCCAGCTTCTCTGTTTCTTACTAAGCTTCTCTGGCTGTAAGCCTCTCTTGGTTAACTCCCCAGTGGCTTTCTGGGCAGCGTCTCACTGCTCTTCCATCTCTCCTTCCAATTCTCTTAGTTCCTCAGTATGGTTTCAATCCCATGTCTCAGCGGCTCAAGAGGAATGAAAATCAGCTCAGTAGATTCCTCCCCTTCTCCATTAGCTGCCCCTATTATTTATCTCATTAAGAAAAAAAAGCTGGTCCAGATGTGTAACTGAAACAACACAGTCTTTTTCTTTGACATTTCCTTGCATTGATCTTCTCTCTGGGTAATTTTATTGTTTTACAATACAGGTGGAAGGTAATTTTCCAACATAGTGTGTTGCCTGGCCCCAAATCTGGTGGGTTTGCTGTGAAAATAATTTTCAGAAACCACAGTCATAGTCCAGTTTGAGAGGACTGGCACAGTATTTGAGCACTCCTTTGCAAGGGCTAGTCCACAAAGGCTGTGTTCTGCAAAGGCATCTTAATGCATGTGTAATGCCTGTATCTTAAGCACATGAAACTTACATGTACATAAGCAACTGGATTATCTCACCAGATAGGTGGGCATTTTTTCCAGATCCAGTGGTTAGTCGGATATATCATTTGAGATAATGAAGAAAGAGAATAGTTCCTCTCTTATTTGACAATGGACAAAGCAAATGTCTTGCATAATAGGAATCTCGGGAATAGCTACCACAATGACTGTGCAGACTTTGAGGTTGCTGCACAAAGAGAATTATTATTACAATGTTTAGTGGGAGGAAAAGAACACCCATCAATTACTATTCTCCAATACCTTCCCCACTAAGGCTAAAATTAATCTTGATTTGAAACTAAAATATAGCAGAACTCGTGTGCTCGTTGTTGTGGAACAGGAAAGCTCTTCAGAAATCAGGTGCTTCGGGCTAGAGGCCTCTAGAGGTCACCAGAGCCTAATTAAAAAGCATTGCTAAAGCCATCTGTGAAATGTAAATTGCTTTGTTTTGATTGGGACTTTCCCCCTCTGCAGCTCTGGGTCTCCCCTCTCGCAAGGAATCCAGATTCTCATTAGGTGGCGATTAACATAAAATGCTTGCAAACCCACACTGTCCTGGAAAAGGCCGGGCCATACAGGAATCCTCTCCTTTTTGAGTACGAAAGCAGAGTCTCCTGATTGATTTTCTTATCCTCTGTGCACAGTTCCAATCTTACCTTCGTGCTTCTGTGATAAAATCTGTCCTGGCACAGCTGGAGCCCCTTGTGTCCCACAGGCAAGAGCTTTGCCACACCTTTGTAAGTCCAGAGAATGCCATGAGCATTACCAAAGTGAGAGGGATGACAGTTCTTTCTCTTGTGCTGAACTCAAATGGGAGCACAGGCCAAGTGTGCACATAGGCAAGGATTTTTCTATGTACGTTTTTGCCTTGCAAATTATGACTTGCAAACACACAAAACCCTGTAAATCAGAAGGTATCCTTTTGGGTCACCCAGTGCTATGTCTACAGGGAAGGTTTACAGAAGAGCTGCAATTTAATTATGATTAAGGGGTTGTCATGAGGCCAGAGACCTCATCTGCTTCATGCAAGAGCAGAAGGGAAAGCTCAAGTAATTTTCCTGGAGCTCTTTCCAGTGTTTAGGAATGAGACAGGCTGGGGCGGGGGGAAAGGAAGCTGAATACATTTGAGGGAAAATATTTATTTCAAGACAGCAAACAGAAGCTGGTCCTTTCAGGAGAAATTCCTCAGAAGAGAGCAAAGTTATTTATTTTAGGAGCAGTCACTGGAATGCAGGTCTGTGGTGTCTCAGCCAAGTGATTTTTGTCTCCTGTGGAAAGCCAAAAGAGTTAAATACAGATGAATGGCCTGTGGCTTGCCAGGATGCTGAATGGGAGGGGGGCTACCGTGGGGGGATCCTCCTAAACAGTTCCTTTGCTTTTATATACAGGATACCGCAGGCCCAAGATGTTTCCTCAGAGTCCAGGGAGTTTTTCTGGATGCACAGCAGGAGCCAAGGCTCTGCCCCTTCTAATAAGTCTATGCGGTAGCTCCTTCCCGTGAAACTTCCTTTGCCATAGTGGCAGCGGATGGCTTGCACAACTTGTGGTCTTCCCTGGGAGCAGCAGCCCAGGGTGATGGGATCACCCTGAGTGTGTTTGCTGGGAACGGTGACACTGCAGCCTGGCTGGAGTCCACACATGGGCTCCTAATCCCACGCAAAGACCTAGAAAGGTCAGCAAGACCATAAACAGTATGTGCCCACCTGAAAGGAGGTCAGGGATCACTGTCATTGTAGCACAGCACTCCCAGAGAGGAAACCCTCATATGAATCTTACTTTTAAATCTTTATTTCCTTTCCTTTCAAAAGATGCCTTGTAGACCTAGGGCCATCCCTCCTTGGTTCCCTTCTCAAGGCTACATCCTAGAGAAACCTTGCTCCTTCTTCTTTCCCCTCTCCAAACAGCAATCTCATCAAAATTTCTAGGTGGTTGCCATCTGTCACAAGCAAAACACCACCCTTTTTGCTATTTACAGTGCAATTAACCTTTACTAAATTAGCCTCAGACTGTCATGAGAAGATTTATTAAGGCAACACACCCTTGACTAATTCCCACCATGGAAGCAGTGTGCTGCATTTGCAGCACCTTACCCACGACACTGACAAAACTCTTTCAGAATTGCATTGTGGCAGGAGGGGGCAAGGTGGTTTTATCCTGTCTGCGTCATCCCAGCAATTTTGCTAGCCCTGGGGAGACGTGCAAGGAATGGCTCCAACAGACAGAGTGCTGTGGAGGTACCTGTGGTGATGTAAGACCTGGTCTTCCCCAGCAGTGTGTGTGGGTGTTTCCCCACTGCTGAGTGTTACTGCTCTGGTAGCCAGGATGCGGGACCCCACCACAGGCAAGTGGTGTAGTTTAAACTGCCAAAGAATGAAGTTACTGCCAAAATACTGGGCTGTGATATGCAGCAGCTGTGCTTTGGAAACATACCCTGTTTTGCCTAGCACCATCAGACTTCCATCCAGACTTCTGTACACATGTCTAAGAGGCATAAATCATGCATAATTCAATACATAGTTCAAGGCTTCCCAAGAGCCTCAGACCTTTGGCCTTGTATAGTGGAGCTGATCTGTGCAGGGTGTGCCTGGGTTATGTGGACATCCCTGTGCTTGCTGCCAGGCCCTGGAGAACCCAAGGCAGATGAGCCAGTTCCCCCAGGCCCAGGACAGCATGAATCCTGGTGGAAAAAGAGGTCTTGGCCAGGGAAATCCAGCATGCTGGCCCTGCCTCTGTTGTTCTTCCCACACGGCTGTAGCTCCTGGCAGAGAGGCAGCGCAGCCAGTAAAGGCGGTGATGTCTTAAGCCAAAGCAGCTGCAGTCACCAGAGATGGTATCCTGAAGGCCAAAATCTCAGGACTCAAAGCTGCAGCAGAGAGCAGCCGCTGCACAGCAGCACTGTTGGTAAGCAACAAGGTTACAATGCAATACCTATATTGGTGGGCAATGCTTTTGTTGTGCTATCAGTAGTTCCAGGTGTCCCACCGTGTTGTCCAGCACAGGATTGTCCTGCTGTACCTATGCCACTGCCACCTTCTCCTCATGCAGTGAAACCCCCCATGGATGGGTTCTGGGGAGACTGTGTCAGCCCAGGGAATGGGGGCTTAGTGAAGAAGAAAACAGCCCTGTTTCACACCATGGCACTGCCTCTGCCTCCTGAAAGTTTAACAGAGTAAGTGATCATTAGTAGTGCCCAACACTTGCATTTCTTCAGCACAAAGATTCAAAGTGTGTGACCCATAGCAGCACTGTTCTGACAGACCCAGGACAGTACTTATTAATTGCAGTCAGGTGTAAACTACTTCCTTACATTTATTTGGTTTTGTACCCATGTGTGTACCTAAGGAACTCATGGATGGGTACAGAGGCAAGACCTAGGTGCATACTACTGCCATCCTCCTCCTGCTTTACTCTGATGGGAAAGCACTTAACAACCAGCTTGGATGATACCAGCACTGGAACCCTGGGCATGCAGCATGCTCTGATCCAGAGGTACATGCAAACACAGTCTGAGGTAATCACATTCAGCATTACTGGGAGGAAAGGCTGAAACAGCATCTGTTGTGATGGTGAACTCCTCACACTGTTATGGTATGGACACTTCTAACAACATTCATAACATCCTAAAAGCTGTCAGGGAGGAGCAAGGGATTATTCGTTTTCCAGCCTTACCTTCCATGTTGCAGCCATACCTCAGCAGCAAGGAGGCTGGCCAAGCCCATGATACACCTGAAAGGCTGCAGCTTCACAGATGGTGACAGCAGTATGCAAGACTGCACCATCCATTAAATAAGAATAAAATTAATACAAAGTATAGCTGATACAGGATAATAAATGACCGTACTGAATCATCAGACAGCCACTTATCTTCTTATGTCCTTGCTGAGAACATGAAAAAGGAGTGACCAATGCAATCTGCTGATTAATGGGCATTATTTGGAAATTCAGATATTCTTGATATGTCTGATTCTTGTCAGTTATAGTAGCAAAACACTCCTGCCCCAACTGAAGCCAGTAGGAATTATAAATCAAAGACACTCACAGTTTATCACTGTAAAGTGAAGTAAGTGGCAGTCTATCGTAAGCTGAGCTTTACCATGTCAAGCAGAGCTCAGGCCGAGGAGCTGACACAGCAGCTGTTTGTTGGTGTGACAGTGATCTCCAGCAGACAGGCAGACTGGGCAAATGGCTATACTAACCTCTTTACCTGTGGCAGCTGATTCTCCCAGCCCTTAGGATGAGGACTTTTTGCCTGTGCTGAGGGCATGACTCCCATTTGTCCCAAGAAGAACTATCAAGAAATGATGCTCAGGCTCTGCTCAGTTCAAGGCAAGGAGAACCACTGCCTATATGGCCTACACCGATGAGCTTGTCCTATTCCCATGAGTCAATCTAGAGCCAATCCAGTGAACTAGGTCACCAGCAGTGACCCACATCTTCCGCAAGAAGAGCCTCTGATGCTGAAACCCCAGCGGGCTGTTAAAGAACTTAAAGCACTTTTCGCTTCCCCTTCCGGGGCGCAGACGGGCTGAGCAGGCGCACTAACACGATTACCTCCGCTTTGCGCTGCTCAGTTACGCCCTAATCAGTACGGATAAAAGTCTGACAAAAGCAGCTTAGAGCAGCGGTCTCCTCCTCAGGTCTTGCCGGAGCCTGGGGGCGTGGCAGCGGCGCCGCGTGACGTACGTTCCGGCAGCGCGACAGCCGTCAGTGCTGCCCGCGCCGGAAGGCTCCTGTCGCGCTGGTGACGTTGGCTCTTCCTCTTTCCGGAGTGAGGCCGGAGCGCAGGTATGGTCGCTGCGGGCGCGAGCCCCATCCGCCGCCATCCGCCCCCCGCCCGCCGCTGGTGCCCGCCCCGGTGCTGCCCTCGGCCTCTCCCCGGGGTTGGGGGCGGGCCGTGCGGGTGCGCGGACCGCGGCCTGATGCGGCCGAGTCGGGCGCTGAGGGCTGCGGGGACTGTGGGGGCCTAGGGGGAGGGAATGGGGAAGGGGCGTCCCCGCTCGGGACGTTGCTGACGGCGGGTGCCGGCGCGCTGCCCTCTGCCCGCAGGGCGCCATGGGACGTGTGATTCGGGGCCAGAGGAAGGGCGCGGGCTCCGTCTTCCGCGCACACGTGAAACACAGGAAAGGCCCGGCCAAGCTCCGCGCTGTCGACTTCGCCGAGAGGCACGGCTACATCAAGGGCATCGTCAAGGTAGAGGCGGGGGCCTTTCCGCGCGTGCTCTGGGCCCCGTGCGAGGGAGGGTGGGAGGCTGCAAGGGCTCTTAGCGACCTTGTCATCGGGTGCAGGGACCCTGAGGTGCGCATCGTTCTGCCTTCTGCAAGGTAGCTGAAGTCCTGTCAGCTGTGCTGAAAGCCGTTTGGCTGCTCCTTGTTGGGGCTTCTCTTCGGTCGTTAAATAAGTCACATTTCTTGAAATGCTAACCTGCTTTGTGTTTATGACAGCGTTTAAATAAACTGGCAGCACATAGATAGCAACGTGATCTGGTAAGAATTTTGCTAACGCAGGAATACCTGTGCTTTTCTATCACCTAAGAACTTCTCTGTACCTCCTGAAACATGAGGGGGGAGAGTTTTCCACATAGTTTCATCTTTAAAAAAATAAATCGATGTTCATTAACACTAGGTAGTATCCATCATCTTAGCCCTGAGCAGTGGGGGCAAGGCAGGACTGTTATTTGGGGTACAGTGCAGTGTTTCAGGTGTGCTGTAGGTATTTTTCATGCATCAGTGACTTAGACTGCAAGCAGTGCCACTGGGTACCTAGCTGGGTGCTCTGAGCATCAAGCTGTCTCTTCAGCCTGTCAGAGCGGGGTCATCTTCAGGCTGGAGAAAAAACTTCCTTCATGCTCACTGTAATTGAGTTTTACTATAAAAAGTACGTAGGTACATTTGTAGGTATGTAATGCGTGGGGGGGGAAAGGGAGGTTGGGTTGCCCAACAGGGTTGAAAACAGCAGAAAAAAAACACTAATACTGCACATCAGCCACATCTGAGCTTTCCTAGAAAAGACACATATTGCGAAAACCTTGAATCACTTGGCTGTGGTCTAAATACGTGTTTGTGTGTTGGAATGCTGGTGTAATTAAGGATTAGAATTAGCATATTTTTCCAAGAAAAAAAAACAGTAAGCCTGTGGTACCTCGCTTTGGGTTTGGGTAACTCCAGTGTACTTAATACCAGAAGGTGAGAAACCCTGCCATTCTAAGAAAACACTTGGAGAAATTGCTGCTGGTGTCCAACTTTGTCTCTCCCCAAAGGTGGTTGGGCAACTAGTGGTTGGGGAGTTCAGGTTAGATATAAGGAAGAAGCTCTTTCCTGTGAGGGTGGTGGGTCACTGGTACAGGTTGCCAAAGAAGTGGTTAATGGTCTATCCCTGGCAGTGTTCAAGGCCAAGTTGGACAGAACCTTGGGTGACATGGTCTAGTGTGAGGTGTCCCTGCCTATGGCAGGGGGGTTGATCCTAGATGATCTTAAGGTCCTTTCCAACCCGAATCATTCTAAGATTCTAACTACTGAAAGTGGAACTATTCTAAGGGGAGATCTGCTATCTGCACAATGTCAGAAATAAGCCAGTTCAGACTCAAATTAGTTTCAGGCAGCACACTGAACCAGAGTGTGGTACAGATACTTGTTGTATTCTTACTAAATGTCAATCTTTAACTCATTCACATCAGGAGAAATCAAGACCCCCCCCCTGAGAATTACCTCAGTAGTAATCATCTCCAGTTTTCCCAGTTCTTTGATTTCTGCAGAACACATGACAAATGCTGTCCACTTTTCTAAAGCACTCCTGTGTTCCAACAGGACATCATCCATGATCCTGGCCGAGGCGCTCCACTGGCCAAGATTGCCTTCCGTGATCCGTACCGGTTTAAGAAGAGGACAGAGCTGTTCATTGCTGCAGAGGGTATTCACACCGGGCAGTTTGTGTACTGTGGCAAGAAAGGTGAGTTAAGGTTGAAGCTGTGTGCTCAGTGTTGCCTGAGCAGTTTCAGAGTGCTGAAAGAGATGTTGTCTGAACCGGGATGGCTGAGTGTGGTTGTGAGCTGTGACACTGGAGCAGCTTCCACTAGCTTTAAGCAGACCTGGATATTTTTCTTGGAGATTGCCATCTCCTCATGCAGCCTGTTTTGACTCTAACAAGGCTAATTGCAGTCTTCAGCAAGTTTTTGGGTTGTTTTACCCAGACGCCCTGTTACCTGCCTTTCTGCTGCACCAAGGGTGGGACTTGGGTTTCAGATCAGACACCAAAAAGTGCTTCTGCTTGTCTCTGCTGAAGTGTGTGTGCGGTACCCTTCTGTGTACGTTGCCCATGTTAAATAGAATTGTAATTCAAGTAGAGGAGCCTGAATGAGGCTGTGGATGCTCTGATTGCTCTTTGCAGCTCAGCTGAACATTGGCAATGTCCTACCTGTTGGCACCATGCCAGAAGGGACCATCGTGTGCTGCCTCGAGGAGAAACCGGGTGACCGTGGGAAGCTGGCCCGTGCTTCTGGAAACTATGCCACCGTCATCTCTCATAACCCAGAAACAAAGAAAACGAGGGTGAAGCTGCCTTCTGGCTCCAAGAAAGTGATTTCTTCTGCAAACAGAGCTGTTGTTGGTAATGAGTGACAACTATGCACTTCTCCTGTACCTGAGTTGGCATACTGCTAAGCAAGCTTTCAAAAAGGGCCCCAGGTTCTAATCTTGTCTTGAAAGTAGCATTATTTACAGGATGGACTGGGATTATGCACCAGTACAGTCTGTGCACAGGTGCCTGACTTGTATCTTTTGCCTGCATTGCTTTTGGTTAATGATAACTTAAGTCTGGAGATGGTTTGAGCAAGTGAGAGGACATAAAAGTAGATTCCCATTGTCCTCAAGCTGTAATGGAGCTGCTCAGCCCGTAAAATCTACAGTCCTTGGGAAGAACTGTAGAAAGTGTTGATGATGATTTCCTGCTTTTGGTACACTGAGCTTTTGGGGTAGTACTAGGGAGTGTTGTCAGTAGCACAGTGTTCTGGAAGGTCTGGCAAGGAAGTAAAATAACCATTGTCGAGAAGCAGAGGTTTTAGCAGGTTTGTTGTACCCTTGACTGACAGCTGAGATGGAGGCTGTGCTCAGCCAGCAAGTGACATGTGCCTGCCTCTCAACAGAAGACACCGAATTTAATGGCCTGTTACTCTAGTAAAATTGACTAAATTAACCATGAAATAACTAGATATTAAACCTTAAAGTTCTTGAAAGGCCCCTGAACTCTTTCAGTTCACATTTTCTTTAATTGAAAAACTGTTGTTTCCATTACCCAAGAAATTGCAGCAATAAACCTGGTAAGGTCTCAATCCTGTACGTATGGATGGAGAAATGGTGATTAAGGTGTGTGTCCCCTTGCAGAGCACTAGGTGTATGGCTCGTGGCTTGAGTCCCATCTCCCTGCTAGTGTTGGCTGGAAAATGAAAGTTTGAATACACACCTGGGATTGTTTGGTATTTACTGCTTTGGGTTTATGACAGCATTTAAATTGGCAGCACATAGATAGTATGAACTGAGATTTAGAAGCTCATTCTTAGAACCTGAATATTATTAGGAGTTAGTCTTGTTCTTAAACACTCTTTTGCATTCCTGTCTGTTGTATTTGTGTGTTACTATTCCTGCATGCATTTTCCCCCCCCCCCCCAGGGATTGTTGCTGGTGGAGGTCGTATTGACAAGCCTATCCTGAAGGCCGGCCGTGCCTATCACAAATACAAGGCAAAGAGGAACTGCTGGCCACGTGTCCGTGGTGTGGCCATGAATGTGAGTCCATTCTTCATTCATTTTCACTTTTTTATGCTTTAAAAGGGATGTGTTTGCTGTGTGAAGCAGCCTGCCACATATCTGAAAGAAGGCTTTTTTGTTCCCTTAAATCAATTTACTGCTTTTAAGCATCATTACTAGTTTCTGTTATTTATATTGACTACTTGCTTTCCTTTTCCACAGCCTGTAGAACATCCCTTTGGTGGTGGTAACCATCAGCACATTGGCAAGCCTTCAACCATCCGGAGAGATGCTCCTGCTGGGCGCAAAGTTGGTCTCATTGCTGCCCGCCGTACCGGAAGGCTGCGTGGAACAAAGACTGTGCAGGAAAAGGAGAACTAAAGATCCACTGTGGAGTTTACAGAATAAATTTTTAAAACATAGCTTGTGTGAAGTCCAAGTTACCTGTTACTGAAGTGTGGCTCAGGTAGGGATAATGCTCAGTAGGGGAAGTCGGTGAGTGAAGGTAAAGTTGGGTTTGGGTTTGTTTTTTTTCTCCCCACCTTGAAGAGTAGGAATTCTTTCAGCCAGCACTTCAGTCTGTGAGCTGATGCTGTAAGCTGGAATAACACTGTAAATGCTCTTGTGCCCATGTGTGATGTAAACACTGGTCTGGTTACGTGGTTACTTAGGTCTGACAGCATTACAGACTGATCAGGTAATCCTTTGGTTACCAGGTTTATTGGTATCAGGTTTATTGGCTGAAATGGTTGAAGGGTGCTCAGTTTTCCAAGTTCCTAGACTCTTAATAGTTTTCCATTTTTTACCTGCTGTGTTTTGGAGGAAGAGCTTGTGAGAGTTGTAGAACTTACAGGAGATACTTTCAACTACTGTTAACTGTCAAGTTTGGGACTCTCCTTGGAACCATCCAGCTTCAACAGAATCAAAGGTGCTTCCCTGTAAAACTCAACCTGCCTTTACTCAGCAGTATTTGGAATCGGGAAACAGCTTCAAAACCCTCTCCTTTGCAGGCCATTCTGCAGAGTGGGGTCCAGCTTTTCCTGACTGGATACTCCTAGGTATTGTGATAACAGGTAATGGCAGTGCTGCTTCACAGTAGGGAGCTGTATTCTTGATGGCTCAGCTGAGACTGGTGCTGCAGAAGCCTGGGTGTGTGCGTGGGGTGACAGCACACTTTGTTGAGGGGGGTACCCAGGGGTAAACCTGCCTGCTGCAGCTTCAGCAGAGTGCTCAGCCCTAGCCTGCTGTCTTGACTTCATGCAGCCCCACTCTTGTTGCAGGCCAGCAACAGAGGCACGTGGTCAGGTCCAAGTGCTGTATGCTGACTTGCTCACAGACCCTTTAAAGGTAACATTTCTTCTGTTGTGATTAACTCCTGCAGAACTGGAAGTGTTACAGGAAGACGTGGATTCTTCTACTGGCTAGATATTCCCAAACAGTAAAGCAACGATCCTTTGGAATATCTGACAATATACATGGAACACAAAAGCCTATTTGCTCTTTTGAGCAGACTATTCCCTTGAGGTGTAGGGTAGCTCATGTTCACATACAGAATCAAAATAATGCCTTTGATCCCAAAATGCTGGTGCCAGACCTCCACATATGAGTACAAACTTGTACTGATAGGAATCCAGTGGAATGAAAAGCAAGAAGAAAACCTACCTTTATCCACCCATTATAACGTAGCTGGCCACACATGCCTAGGGAGGAAAGGGATTAAAAAATCAGAGCCACATACCTTGGAAAAAAAAAAAAAAAAAGGACCATATCAGTTGGGGAAAACCTAAAATGCAATGGCAAGTGTTCCTGTTTATATGTACCCCCAGTGCCACCAAGGTAAGTGAAAGTGATCTTGTGGTTTTGCCATGACATCAGAAGCTCTTGCTTATACACCTGTATTTTCCTGACATGGATCTAAATATAACCCTCCCAAACTATTGGAAGAACAGTTAAAGTACTTAATGTTCAGATTGTTACCTTGATGAGAGCCAGGTTAAGACAGATTCCACAATGCATTTTCTCCCATGAGAGCTGTACTTTCAGGCTGTCGGTACAAAGAACTTCCGGAATAATTTGCATTCAGTACACCTAAAGGACCTGCTGAAACCATGGTTTCTAGTGGCTGTTGGGTTTGACTCCATACACTTCCTAGAAATGGGGAGATCCTTGCTGACAGCACTTGCCTCCTTTGTTGCCGATCCCAAGCTTTGGCTGCGTTCACAGCCAACAGTTGTGAGTAACAGTGCAATCTAGAGGTACGTAGTAATTGCACAGGTAAAGAGGTACCATGTAACAGTGCCGAGTGCAGCTACAAACACAATATAAATACACAGGATGCAAGATCTGAAGTATTTAAATTCATACAGCAGTGAGGATTTTGAAGGTTTGATTCCATTCGCCAAACAGAGGTACAATTGCTTGTGTTGCAAGTAAGTTACTAAAGTACAGTCTCTTGTTATGAAGTGTACTACAGATTGGAGACTTGCCTTTCACATTTGCATCCCATAGGCCTGGTTGCGCAGCAAGTTCTAACCTCCCCTTTGGAAAGACTACCTGAAAAGTGAAAGCCAGGATTGTGAAAAAGCCCAGGGCATGTTCTAAATGTTACCCCATAACTGCTGAGCAGGGGGTTCATGCCAGTCAGCTAAGGGTGCCTATCTGGCCACACATGGAAGATTTAAGGGCATAAATAGGTAATAACATGGTGCCTGGGGCAACGCATATTCCATTTTAGAGCAGGACAGGGCTATGCAAACTGAGTTGCAGGAACAGATAAAGCCAGAGGTGGAATTTTACATGAGACTGTGTTTGGAAAAATTTCAGGGAGCCCAGGAGCGCACGTGTACATGCAGAGCAGGATTTACAATTGCAAGCATCGGACTAGAAACCCTCATGCTGATGGGACTGCACCACAAGCATGCTGATGGTGGCACAAAGGCCACCAATATCCATGGGAGTCCAGCCTCGATGGTGTTGAAACAGATGGAACAGCCAGGCTGCTAAACGAGCTGACAGGGCAAAATACAGAACAGCAATACCAGAACTTGCTTCAGAGGAGAAATTACTCTAGACAGACACTTTTAGTCCGGTAACGTAACTTACATTAAAAAAGCCACAGTGATCTTAGCAAGCAGCACAAGACAAACATTCTCCAGGGCAAAATGCTTGCCAGTCCTAGCACTAAGGGTGCTAAAAAGTTCATGAAAATAAATGTGAAGGGAGAGAAAATTAAATAAAGTGAATTATTAAAACAGCTCTAAAGAAACCAATCTACAAGGAAAAATTGCAATGAACTGAAATCTGTTTTCCAAACTGAAGGCCTAATTTAAGACAAGTGGGTGAACTCCAGCAGATTACACAACAGGAGAAATAACTGTTATTATGTTACCTCTGTGTTATTGAATTAATAATGTGATAATAATAAAAACCCAAACATAAAAATCCATCACTCAGCATCAACGATCTAATTTCAGCCTGTAAGAGCACTGAATGGAAAATGAAACTGTGATTGAAGTTAATGTCAGTCACTGGACTCTGCACGGGCCGAATGGAGCATCAACCACCTGCAGCAGGCAGGAGATTCAGCTGAGCAAGGTGGTGGCTCCTTCTGGATTTACACCGTAAAAAGTGGAAATTAAAAAAGATGGGGACAGTGCAAAGATGCCAGCGCCTTCCTTTACCATCTTGTCTGGCAAGATCCTCAATGCAGGCTTACTGCTTTCACACAACAAAGATGCAGTGCAAACATGGCAATATTGAGTGGGACAGTGTTTGGACACTTGATAAATGAAGAGCATTAAATACACCAGGATCTGCCATATTTAACCGTGATCTATGGCTGGTCCTGGGATTCACAGGTGAGAGATTTACTGCAGAGTAAAGTAAACAGATTGGAAGTAGCCCCCCTAATTTCCAACCTTGGTTGTACACAGATGGCTGCTGCACTGTGATGTTACACAGCCTGGGTACCACTGAACCCACAAGGTGCCAACAGAAGAAATGAAAGCTGCCTCCTTCCCCTGTGTCTGCACAAGGCACCAGCTGGCAGGGAGGTCCCTCCACCTCAGGCTCCAAATACCCCTTTGTAGTGAGAAGTTGGTGACCACAGACAGTAGGAAAGAGGTCTGCTGATCTGGTTGCGAAGCGGATGGACATCTGAGCTCCCAAAACACTTTCAACTGTGAGTTAACAAAATAAACCTAAACCATGGCTCCGTAGAAAGCACATGGCATCCTTGCATGGTCCTGTGCTTCTCCTACCCCCATTATTCATCCCTAGTAATTATATTTTAGATGTGTGTCATATTAAACAACCTTTTGCTCAAACCAGCTGTTCTTATCAACATGACAGAATACACAGCTGATGTGCTTATATAGTTTATATCAAGGATACTTACTTCATGGATGGGTGTCTCAATTCTCAGCTCTTATGCTGCACAGAGGACACGAGCTACTATACATACAGTCCAACTTCAAACATTACAGCCAGGCTTAGTACTAAAATAGTAATAAAAATCATCATCATCTCCGTGAAGATTAGCATTGTTACAGGGACATCAGAAACCTTGGAAACGAAGCAAACTGTTGTTTTACAGAAAGACGTTAAGTGTTCTTGAAGGAATTTCAGTGGTTGCTTCCAGTGTAAGGCTTTGTTTGCTAAAAGAAAAAAGAAGGAAAAGGATAAAAGAAATAAAAGACAAACCAGTGAAGCACTGAAGTCTTCCTTTAGAAGGGCTTCAATTTCCCCCCTACTGAAAGACCAGCCAGCATTTTCTTTATACTTTAAGGGTGTACTGAGATCCATCAGATCCTACCTAAGCATCGACACGTATCACGGATTCTTTCATCATAACAGAATGCTCTCATTAACATCATTATCCCTTTCCCACCTCCTGCTCCTCTGATACCTCAGCAGCCTGGCTGACGTGTGCCCAGACACACAGGGCAGAAGCCAGACTACACCCAGAGGCGGGCAGGGCCGAGGCTCACCCTCCGGTGCCCTTCTCACTGCCACCTCACCAGGACACCCACAACCTGAGTGCCCACCCTGCAGAGGATGCACAGCCTGCCATGCACCAGTGCAGGGAGGGAGGAAATACGAAGGGAGATGTGAGGAAACCATGTGAGATAGAACAAGGTTGGAGCAAGCCCATACAGAGAGTTTTTGCAAAAAGAAGAGAGGGGAAACAAGCCTCAGCAATAGAACTACAACGCTGACCCTTGTGTTGAAGTTATCAGGTAAGCAAGTACTAAACCCAAGAGAAATGCTTTGGGTCATGAAGTAAAACCCATAGGAGCCTACATTCTAAAAGGCTTCAGGTGATTGATGAATCATGGCATGTTTCACAGTCACCGTGGAAATTAAATTGAATATTAAATTAAAAATTGGGAGAAATGTGAGTACAGAACACATCTGTGTGAGG